TGTAAATAGTTTCTAATATCTGTAACTGTTTCCTGATTTCAGTTATATAATTAAAAAGAAACAAGAGTTTAATAATAATATCCATGAATAGCCAAGTTTCTCTTTGATCGTTTCGGATATTTTTCAAAGACAGATGGGTTTTATTTTGTGGATCCAAAGCGTTTTTAGTTCCGTGTTTAAGGTTAGGCGTTTTTTAGGTTGTTTTGGTTCTAGTGGGACTCTATTAAACCAGGACTAAAGGTAATTTGCTCAGAGAATTGCCCACCTACCGTAAATGTCTTTCCCAATGGGAGCGAGGTTCCGCACGGCTCGTTGGTTTCTCCTGCTCCTGCTCACCGCTATCTTTCCCAACTTGCTCGATTCAGCACCCGGATCAAACTCGCCTCGCCCCGGCGCCCATAAAATGTGCAAGTACCTGAGCTCTTTGTCGTCTCTCGGTCCGACTCGACCCAACACCATTTTTCCTTCCCCTATCCCACTGATTCCGAACCCCACCGATGCTGCTGCTGCTGCTTCTGAGCCCCCGTCCTCCATCCCATCTGCGACGCTACGCGGCTGTGCGTCCACCTCTTCCCGGATTTCACCTCCAGGTCTCTGCCCTAGCATGTACTCCCCCTCAGAAGAGGATCGGTCATTTTCCGAAACAACGACAGGGCTCCATCCGTCCATGTTTCACAGACACATAGGTAGCTCCGTTTATGACAGACTATGGTAAGTTCTGCCAGCGCTTGGAGGAAACACGGCTCTCAGGAGAATATAGTCGGGGCCATCAATGTATCGTAACCGTTGTGTTGGGAGCCATTGCACGAAGCTCTCATGGTAAAGCGGTTCCTCGTAGATAACTAGAAACTACAGTAATAACACGAATTCTTCGCCTCCTCGATACCAAGATGTCAGCTATTTTACAATTTACATCCAGTTAGAGCCAAGTAGTAAAAGAAGCTATGATTGCACAGCGGTCATCTTCAGAACAATTACAGCCAATCAGACTCCGTGATGTTTATACGTGGGACTCCAATCGCAACGACTCAACAAAGTAGCCAATCAGAAGGCTCCAGCGGTTAACCAATGAGCTGTGTGTACGGAGAGCGTATGAGTTGACCGTACGTCAACGTGTTCGCAACACTGAAACGACAATTTGTTGAAAAACGTGGAAAACAAAACAACTATATTATATACACATACATTTAAGGTTTTATTAAATTAATATATTGTACGTTTGTTGAAAAATTTGGAAGAAAAAAAGTTTTAAAGGTATTTAAAGAGTGTTGTGTCAATATGTTTTTCTTATTTTGATTAGTAAATAGTATACATTTTTTAAATCACTTTAAGAATAATGCATTGATCCCACAGAAAGAAAAAAAAAAAACACTAGCACTATAAAGAGCATGGATAAAACATGTTGTGTACACAGGTGGGGTGTAACCAGTTAAGGCAAGGCAAGTTTATTTTTATGACACAATTCGGTACAGGGACCATTCAAAGTGCTACACATGAATTAGACAGTGAAATAGAAGAAAAATGAAAGCAGAATAAAAGGAAATACAGATACAAACAAGATAAAAGCAAATAATTAAAAAAAGACACACAGTTGGACCTAAAACTAGTTATAACTCAGTTAACAGTTTACTTTCAAAAGTTAAAGGCAAGTCTAAAAAATGGGTTTTTTTAAACCTTGACATAAAAGAATCTAGGCTATTAGAATTTTACAGACTTCTGGGACTTTGTTCCTGATAAATGGAGCATAGGAACTAAATGTTGCTTCTCCGTGTTTGGTTCTAGTTCTGGGTGTACAGATTAGGCTGGAATTATAAGACCTGATGGTCCAGGAGGTTGACACACTGACATATCTGTTATGTATTGAGGTGCTGATCCATTCAGTGATTTAATCAGATTCAGACATACTTTAATAATCCCAGAGGGAAATTACAGACTAACAGAAGGATTTAAAGTCTATTTTCTGAGCTACAGGGAACCAGTGTAAGATGTGCTCTACTTTCTTAGTTCTAGTGAGGACACTGGGAGAATCGTTCTGGATTAGCTGCAACTGTCTGATTTTATTGGCAAACCCATGAAGACACTGTTGCAGTCATCAATTCTACTAAATGCATGAATGAGTTTTTCAAGATCCTGGTTAGACATTAGTCCTTTAATCCTGGAGATGTTCTTCAGGTGATAAAAGACTGACTTAGTAACTGCCTTTATGCTCCTCTAAAGATTCAGGTCTGATTCCATCGTCAAATGGAGAAAATGATGGAGCATTCACATATTGATCTGTTCTAAGCAGGTAACCAACGCTCCGAGGGGTTCATAGTCACCTGGTGAAATTGTGCTGTAAAGCTGTGTCATCTACATAGTTATGGTACCCCATCTTGTTTATTATAATTTAGCTAAGTCACATTTACTTACATTTACTTAAGAAACTTTACATTTACTGCTCCATACTTTTCCCCTTTATTTAATAATATCTGTATAAAATATCACCAAATAAAGCACACCTTTGTAGTTTAGTAAGATGAATCTGATCTTCATGAATTTATACATTCTCTCCATTTTTTTTATTGAAAACAGCAATGTGAGACCTGTTTTTTTACTATCTTGAATATTATATTCAGATGAAAGGCACGTTTTGCATGTTATCAACTTTTATTCATGTTATATTTTAAGTAAAATATGATTAAAGTATATTTTGTGAACAGCTGTGTAGCTTTTTATCAACAAATCTTAGACACTCCAATGTAGAGACAGAAATCTATTTTAAAAAAACGACAACAAAGGAGCTCTTAAGTAACATGTTGGTTCCAGTGTTAATTATAATTTGCAACATTCAGGTTAAGAAAGAAAAATATCAGTTTGAAAACTACTTTTGTCTTTAACACTAAACCCTCTCACAATTAAGAAAAATATATCTTTATTTCAAATAGTCTGAGAGATTTACAAGAATGATAGCAGGTAAAATAAGTTCTCTGGTATAAGGATAGAACTGAACAGCTTTGCATATGATGGGTAAAACAATCAGAGGTCAAGTTTCAGTCCAGAAGACACAGATGCTCCAGCTGGTGCCAGGTAGTTTGGAAGTGAAGGGTTTGCTCCCAGTGATGTTCCTGCAGTGACCTTCTCAGCTGGCACCTGTCCGGCTTCATTAACACACCGCCGCCGCTGACCGTAGTGGTGATTTAAATACCCCTGCTGACAAAACAGTGGGGCCTTACGGTGTGTGAGGGCTGAGCGGAAACATGTTTCTGTAATGCAGGGGAAAAACACAAACAGGGGATAAAACACTGACAAAGGGAATCTTAAAAGAAAAATAAAAAGACAGAGAGGATTCTGCTTTTGGAGGGTGTGGCTCATAAATGCCAACTGAATGTTTGCACAAAAGCAAAGAAAAATGGATCAGCAAACCTTTGAACAGGATGATATTTAGCTTGGAGCTACTTAAATATCTTTAACATTAATTTGTACTGCTTTTTCCCTTTTTCAGATCCATATTTTATTGTACTTTGTATGCATTTATCTTAAAAACTAAAGAAAATATCTACTTTTCCACTGGAGTCTTTATACTACAGAATGTGTTTTAGCTAAATGGATCTAATGGTAATATAAGGATGTAATAAAAAAACAAAAAAAACTGAATAATTAGTAGGACTTTAAAGATAAATGTTTCTGATTAGGGAACAGATCAGTTGCTGTGGTGCTTTACCTGCACTAAATGCCCTCAGGTCAGTCTGGACACAATGCTCCAGGAAGCGCCGCAGCGGCTGGATGTGAGACAATGGAGCGTCCCATTCGGTGAGGAAGTCCTCAACCATATGATGGATCGCCTTCGGCCTCGGTAAAGGCCAGCCATGGGGACGCATCCTCATGTCTTGCTCTATATAAGAATTCAAACAAACCCACATTTCTCAGAAATCCCCAGAAGCTGTCAGAATGAAAATGCTTTCTGAAGACGGCACCATCCATACCTGTAGGGAGGGAGTCATAGTAGTATAAAACAGGATGGAGAAAGTTGGATTTCCAAGCTCTTTTCCATTCTGTTTCTGCCCTGCCATGCCCAAGAAAGTCAATCTTCTTCTTCCCATACTGCATGACCACCACTATGAGTCCATGATTAGACACCTGGTGGCCAGACAGAGAGGAGAACTGGGGCAAAGCTTGGAGCAGGAACTCCTCGACGTACTCGCAGTGAGAGCTAAAAGGGGAAGGAGACAAGGGTCAGCACAGTGAGCAAGACAAACAAAACCGTCACCTTAAATCTGAAACTCGAAAACAATTTATTTGGAATTTTTTTCTTTGTGGAAGATCATCAAAAAGAGGAGCATAGATGTAAACAGAAAATCTGAAATTATAGATGGGTATAGATGGGGAATTGCTAAAACTTAAAGAGTTGAGTAGAGAGCGATCTGCATCCTCTGTGCATGCAGGTCTGTCTTCCTCCTATAACAGGTGTCTGCAACCTTTTCTATTCAAAGAGGCACTTTTGCCACCACTGCTGCAAAATAAAATTTATTAAGAGCCATAACAGGTTTTATAAATTTTTAAAGCCTGAGGAATAAAACCAAGATTTTCTATTATTCTACTTTGGGCAATAAAAGATCATTGAATATTTAAACTGAAAAAAAAAAAAAAATCATTAATTTTGTAGATTGAGGCAAGCTAATTGCATCCCACCTACGCATATAAAGAACGTCGTTCAAGCTAACAAAAAAATTGCATTACATTAAAAGGCCCCTGCTGTTGCTGACACTGTACAGAAAACATACAGGAGAACCCTTTGTTATTGACCAAATAATTACATTTTAGGACATCCTTATGTCTCAGGAAATAAGTTGTCACGTCTTATGGAGCCTTTTGAACGTCAAACACCTTAACTTGGACTCTTGTGCATTTAAAAAATCAGACAGTCTGGGTGTTTCGGGGCTCTGCCCATTGAGCTGCTCTGTTCTTTCCCTTGTCATTGAGAGAGCAACTCGACTTTATCTGCTTTGATGGGTTGGAAAAAAGTAGTTTTATTGGTTTATAAGCAAGAAAGTGAAGACTTCGTCTATGCAGGCAGTTTATCAGGATTATTAATGTTCTTGTTCAGAGCAACAGACAAACCGAAAAATGGCGGGCGGCAGTGCTGGGAGTCCCCCGTGACATTTTCACTGCTGTTTGTAGGGGATGGAAGGGAATTTCAACAATTTTTTTAAGGGTTTTGTTAAAAACTGCAAGTAGCAGAATATAAGATGGAATATTTTTGGCCGGCAGGGTTTGAATATATTAGTCCTTGTAGGAATTATAAACTATTTCCTCACAGTTCAGTGAGAAAAACATTCCCTTGGCTTTTTTATGTGAAATCAGTGAAGTTTGAACTCTATTTATATTTATTACCTCCTCCAAGGAGGTTATGTTTTCAGCCATGTTTGTTAGCTTGTAAGTTAGCAGGATTAATTGTAAGTTATGGATGGATTTTAATTAATTTTAACCAGAGGTGCGCCTCATGCCAAAGATCAATACATTCAAATATGGTAATCATCCAGATCATGTGTGAGTTTTATCTATAGGTGTAAGTGACAATATGGGGCAAAATCTGCTACTTGGCAGAGGTCAGCGTTCTCCCAGTGCTTTTGTTTGGTACAGTTTATTGCTAAAGCTCTGTGGAGGCACTATATTTTGATGATGATTAGGGCTAGGCAATTAACTGCAAATGCAATATAATCGCAATTTAGCAAAGCGCAATTTTCACATCGCAGAGACACTCAAATTTAGTCAATTTAAAAAGAGAGACACTACATTTATCCCTCCAGCCATTTAGGTGGAGGTTATATTTTCAAAGTTGGTTTATCTTCACACAGATGAGACGAGACAGTTGCAGCTTCCATGCAGGTCCATGCAGAATATTAGAAATAATATCCCCCACTAAGGTCCTGCAACAATGGACTCT